ATCTGGATCCTGTGCTCTGCAATAAGAGGCCGCGATAGTGAGAGGCCCGCGCACCGCGATGAGGAGTGGCCCCCACTTGCCGCAATTAGAGAAAGCCCACGCATTTAAAAAAAAAAGAAGACCCAACACAGCAAAAATAAATAAATAAATATAAAAAAAAAAACATGCTCCAGATGTGTGTGTGTATATGTATGTATGTATGTATACACACATACATAAATACTGTATATAAACTCTGTGTATACACATATATATGTAGATATATACACATACACCATATATACAGTATATCTACACGCTGGGGAAAGAAACTGGGCAGCTAAGAATTATAGGTGAGAAGGAAACTTGTTTTCCCCGCATAATCTCTTGTGCCTTTTGAATTTTATCCTTGTGTATTTTATCACTTAAAATACAGCTTTCAATGGATGGGCTGGAGGATATTTTAACATAATAGAAAAGACTTTCATAAATATTTGTTTTGGGTGATATTTACAAAGTGCTACAACTGTTACAACTTATCCAACTGAATATTTAAGATCTATGCATTTTACTGCATGTTAATTTATACCACAATTAAAAAACAGTACAAAAGTCTCTTAATTTATATAAAAGGTGGTCATAGTTTTCAACCTTCCAGCACATTAGAAAGTATAGAACCTAAGAAAAAACAGTCACCTCCTTCCAACTCCTTGTTACTCCAAACATGGTACATAGACTAGTAAAATCAGCATCACCTGGGAGAATGTCAGACATTCCAATCTCAAGCCCCATCCCAGATCTACTGAATCAAAATCTATATTTTAACGAGATCCCCCAGTGATTTACACCCACATTAAAGTTTGAGAAGCTCTGATAACTAACTTCCTGGAATATTTATGGCAGATATCCAACAAGCTCTACTTTTTAAAAGCCCCACAGATGTACAACAAAAGCAGAGAATTACAATATAAGCACGGTGCCTTGAGAGTGAAGAGATGAAAGGTTCTTTTTTTAAAGACTAGTTGGCAGAGCAAAAGATCCTAATAAACTTCAGTTACACACCAACTATCCTTACAGTTGCTTCACTAGGCACCTGCTTCTCTACAACTTCTTGGGTCTTTAGGAGGATTTTAGCCACCCTGACACTCTTAGTCATATGATCTGTTAGGCCAACAATGCATATGCATATTTTTTTGTCTGTGTATGTGTACATATATATGTGTGGGTGTATGTATGTGTGTGTGTGTGTGTGTGTGTGTGTGTACCCACCCCAGATCTACTCATATTATCTGATTCCATCTGAAGAAAGAGGAAGATAGAACAATCAAAGCCAGATCTTGCCAGTGGGGAATTACAAGAAGACTTAAATATCATTAGATGCCAGGACCCCAAGAAAACAGAGGATCTCACTGACAGGCTATGTCTAAGCACAATTTTATCAAAATTTATGAAGGATTTTGCAAATCTTAAATAAGAGAATTCCAAAGAGTTAAAGTAAATATTGCTTTATCCCTCAAGGTACAATAGAGGGAAGAAGGGTATGTAATAATGGAGGATTTCAATTTGCGTCGTTCATTCAAAGTAACAATTGGTTAAAAGCCAAGATTCCTCACTGGTAAAATATCAAGGAGTAGGATGCACTTTCAAATCAAATAGTTCAGTAGTAGTAGGTATGTGAGGACTTGAGAGATATATCACGATCAAGGGGTTAATGCCAAATACCTGAACCAGAATATGAATCACCTATATATTTCTTTTGAATTTTAGAATTTTATTTATTTTTTATACAGTAGGTTCTTATTAGTTATCCATTTCATACATATTAGTGTATATATGTCAATCCCAATCTCCCAATTCATCACCTATATTTTTGTGGATTAAGTCTCTCTAGGAATTACCATAATGACAGAAGAAATTCTGAAGTTCGCCTTTCTAAGCTCAGAAGCCAGAAAGCCTAGGGAAATATTCCAGTATTTGAATGTAAAAGGTGGCCCAAATTGGGTAAGAGGGGATAATCTGGGGAAATAGGGGGAAAAGATACACCACAGGATCCAAAGCATAAGGATGATAAATGTGCTGTAGCAAGAGAATGAATCATATCCACTAAAAGATATTTATGTAAAAGTGAGATGATTCAAATGATCTCTAGCAACATAATATTCAGAGATGCAATCTGATGTCTTCTGGCTCAAGGATTTTAGACCAGTGGTTCTCCACCATATACGACTATAAGCTGGCAGCTTTTTCAAAGGCACCTGTACCTCTACCCTACCGAATTCTTATATGCCCAGGAATGAGATGGCAATAATATGGCAAAGAACATGAATCTGCTCTTATTGAAGTGATTCTGATACAATCTATATCCATATGCGTACCCTTAAACATCGAATAAGCCACATTTGTAGGCCCTCTGAATTAAATTAAATATTGGCCTGAAGATTTAGTTTATTACATATTGTAATACTGCCTCAAGTTAATGACTTTCTTTGGATTCAAGGGCTGAAGGACCTAATTTATATAAACCCTCAAAAAGCATGTGGAAATTTATAAGATATCTGAACATATTGCACTTGACATAACAGGGAGAAAAAGCAACTTGGCTATAACACCAATATTTACATTCCTACATTATTCTAAGTTTGATTTGTTGGCCTCATCTATGCAGGCCCTTTTTGGGGGGCTATTATTCATTTTTTAAATCATGCAATATTTCAAGCATATGGAAAAATATAAATTACTAGACAGCTGTATAATAACTACCATCTAGCTTTCTCAAACCTTTATAATATTCCTATCCATCTGGTATTTAATCTCTAAAAATAAAATGTGCAAATGTTGGAGAGAAATCCCCTTAAACCTAATTTTTTCATTTTCAAAAGTCACTGTAACATTAAGACATGATTTATAAAATAATTACATGTCATTATTTACTAGCTTTGTGACATTTTGAGGAATTCTGGTTTGATTTTCTTGTCAATGTATGAAAACCAAAGTACCCTAGCAAGAACACAGTAGTTACATTCCAATATTTAACATCATTAAGTTCTCTATTTTATAATGGTTTTACTTCTCTAGTACATCAGAATACAGTAATGACCTTTTAGAGTTATTTTTCTTTCTTTAGTTCATCTTTCCTTGTTCAATATACTTTAGTATCAGATTTTCATGTGTTTGAACAATGGGCAGATGAAAACAGAAATACAGTCATACTTACAGGTCAAACATATATGGGTGTCTGTAAAGTATACAAACACTGGTTTCATACTAAATAATTTTATGTGTGTGCTGCTAAGCTAGGCTCTACCTCTGACTGGTAACCCACCTTTTCAAGATCAAATAGATCAACTATGACTAATAACAAGAGGAGACAGTACAAAAATATTAATAAGTAACAACCCAAAATACTCCCTCCCAATAGGGGAGTCAGTCAAGTTTTTCTACCAGTTATATTCTTAAGAAAACCTCTCCTTTAAAGAGCTGCAATTTAGGTGAAAAAGAAAAATAACATTAAATAATTAATTCACTTAACAATCACTTATCAAGCACTTACTAAGTGCTGGGCCTAGGCACTCTGTTAAGTGGTCAGGTTAAGACACACTCTGATTTCAAGTGACTCAGTGACTATCCATACAACACATATTTCTTGTGAGCCCACTACATGCCAATCACTATTCTGGGTAACGAAGATAAAGCAGTAAACAAAATAAAGTCCTTGCTCTCATGAAGCTTCCATATGGAAGGGAGACAAGCAAACATATGTCAAATGGTAGGGAAAAAACAAAAAGCTACAAAGAAAAATAAGTCAGAGTAAAAAGACAGTAATTTTACATAGGGCAATGATATTCATATTCGTACTGGAAGATACACCTAGTGAGCAAACCATTTATTTACTCCCATTTAATTGATATCTTGAAAGGCAACAATCTGCCTTTCACATCACCAAATTAAACCGGGATTTCTCAGTCACCGTTTTCCTATATAAGCTGCACAATCATATCTAGGATCCTATATAAGCTGCACAATCATATCTAGGATTTAAATAAGATCTTCTACTTAACCAAGGGAAATAGATTTTAATTGATGTGGAAATGGACAGCACCTTGAGAAAAGGTTTAATTTTGTTCTTAATTTCCAACAGTTTTTAGAAGATTATATAACAATATAATGACATTTACTCAAGGCACTAGAGACTAACAACATCAAAAACAAACAGCTGTACAACATGTCACATTTTATAAAGCCCTTTCACATTTCATTTACTTCATTTAATTCTCATAAAGTGATAATACCCTATAAAGCAGGTAATATTTCCATATTGAAACACTTTCAACTTTCCTATGCATAATGAGCATATCGAGGAGGATTAAAGAGGAAATCATGGCTACTTTTTAAATCTTAGGTAAGACAAAGCCTCTAGGCTTATTCTATTCCAAAATTACATTTCACACTGTATTAAGATACAGATAGAAGGTTTTGTCCTATAACTATTCCTTAAGCAATCTATTCACTCTATTAAAAACAAGACCCTGACTTTTCAAAATGACATCATTAAAATTTAATGACATCATTAAAATTAGATTTAAATACCTATCCTTTATTTTTCTTTAATATTTGAAAAATACTTAAAAGTATAATGAAAACCATCAAGAAACATCTGTAATCCCAGTATTCAAAACTATTGGCTATTATATTGGTATATTTAATATTTTTCAACCCATCTCTAAGTTTAATAGTTCTTTAATTGCTCCACACTAACTAGAATATTAATATTCTCTAAAATAGAAGCTTGCTTTTTATTAAAAAGAGAAAAAAAAAAGTAAGCAGGTGTGGAGGACCAAACTGATCAAAATTACTGTGAAATCAAATCAAACATTTTTTAGAATTTTTTACATTGTAATTTCAGGGTCACAAATGGAAAAAGAACAAAATGAAATATTTATTCAATAAATATTTACTGTAACTACTGTGTACAAAATGACAGGAACAAAAGATTTTGTACTTTAAGCAGACTGGATTCTCACCTGTTCAATCTCTTTGGTTTTTGAGGCTATTGCTTTAGAGCGACTGGTTAGCTGACTGTCTTCGAATAATTCTATGCCATCTGTTGCATTTGTCTCAGGTTCTTCTGGCTGGTCAATGAACAATGGTGCCGTGGATCCCCCCTTTAAAAAGAATTAGAAATCTTTTATTACTTTCTTAAAGGACATACAGCATTTTAGATGACTGAATATAAGCACCAATTGGCAGATTATCTCAAGAGAAAGTGCTAAATTTAACCTGTCTTAAGAAACACTTTCAATCTTGCTATGCATAATGAACTTATGTGAGGAGGATTAAAGAGGAAATGATGGCTACTTTTTAAATCTTAGGTAAGACAAAGCCTCTAGGTTTATTCCATTCCAAAATTATATTTCGTACTATATTAAGACAGAGCTAGAAGGTTTTGTCCTGTAACTATTCCTTAAGCAATCTATATAAGAAACACAGAAGAAAAAAGTCCAACTGGAAGTGAGAAGTGTGAACACACATAAGCAAATATATTACACAGAAACACAGAAAAGGACTCTACTTCAGAAGTTAAAAATACCCTGCCTCCTGTAACCTAAGAATTTATTGAAATAACTGAAAAGAAAACAACTCCAAACAGCAATAATTATTACTTCAACAATACTGCAATAGTTCATTAATGAGTAAATGATCCCATAAAAAGCCCAAGGCCGATTATTTTACTTTCTAAAAATACTTTTGATGAAAAGAGGAAAACTAAATAAATGAGGGAAAACTATTATTTAACTGCAGTGCATTAGTTTACTCAAAAATTTATTCTCTGATAAATGCCAAGCACTGCTCAAGTGACACTAGATATATCAATGAACAGAACAGACAAAAGTTCTTGGCTTCATGGAGCCTGCAGTAAGCAGTAAGTTGGAAAGAGTAAAGTTTGAGCTAATATATTTTACTGTTGTATATTTTAGTTGGGTGAGAGGTGAAGGAGGAAATTAGAAAACTGTACTTATCACAAGTTTATCAAAAAACTTATGGTTTTTGTGATTGAAGTAGCAGCAAACAGCAGGAGGTTTACAGAAGTCACAAGATATATATTAATTAGTGGTATTTTTCACCTGTAAGAGCAGTGGCATTCCAACATCTAATGTGTTGTACACTGCCACGACCTCTTTAGAGAGTAATTTGGCAATATTTATCAAAATGTACCACATATCCCTTTCACCAAGCACCTTCACCTGTAGGAACTTAATCTACAGATACACACATGAGCAACAAATGCTAAGATATGGCTGCCATTAATGGCAAATGATTGAAAACAACCTAAATGTCCATCAAGTAAATTATGCACTATCTAGAACCATGGAATACTAAGAAATCATTTAAAAGAATAAGAACAGTCTAAATACATTGCATAATGTATCCTAATTTTTCTCCTGGCAAGTCCTGAAGGTCATTCCCCATAAATATACTGCCAGTTGTGTCAAAAACAAAAGGGAAGAGGGAAGCATGGGTATATATACCTTTATGCATATATATGAACACACTATCTCTGGAGGGATATTACCTATGGGGAAAAAAATGATAGAAGAGGCTGTCTCAATAGGGATAACTTAGAAGACACTGTACCTATTCCAATGCCTTTTGAATTTCTGACATGTGCATGCATAATCTACCTTTTTAAAAAACCTGGTTTTTATAAGTCTGAGTTATATATCTTAAGGGATTTAAATTGAAAGTATACGAATCATTTAAGGGGAGAGGATTCTGGGAAGACAGCAGAGTAGGAAGCACTAGCAATCTGTCTCCCAACCTACACAAAAAATTACACTGGCATAATGTCTGATTTAACTATTGTGGAACTCTGGACTCTGCTGAAGTCTTATCCCTTCCGAGGAAGACATGGGTGGTAAAACTGAGGTTAAATTCAGCTCTTCACACAGTAGCAGCTGCCCAGCTCCCACCCCTACCCACTTGACAGGAAGCTGTGTACATGTTCCTAGAGCAGCTTACACATTGCTTATGGGAGTCAGACTGGGGAAAAAGTACCCTATCCTTCAAATATCAGGGAACTGTGCTCCGATCACTGATTGTTGCTTCTGATCAGAGGGCCAGACAAACAGGCGAACAGCCATTATTATTATACCTCCCCCGACTGTTGCAAGCCCCTCTTATTCTGACTGAAGTGGCTTCCAGGGGATATAAAGGACCAGAACCCTCCCGCCTTCATTTTTCACATCTTTCTCTTTTGGGAGCCAGACATTAAAGATAAGAATGTTAAAAAAAAAAACTGTATACATGGGGGAAGTTAGAAAGTAAATGGGCACAACAAGGGAAAGGCTCAGAAAGAACAGAGAAGACTTTGTTTACACCTCAGACTGATCCTCAGTACAGAAACAGCCAACAATAAAAAACAAACAATATCAACAACAACAACAAACCCAGCAAGCCCGGGGGAACAGGGAGAATCTGACTTACAGAGTTACCACATTATTAGATTCAAATGCCCAGTGTTCAACAAAAAAAATCACAAATCATACAAAGAAACGGCAAAGTATTTCTCATTCAAAGAAAAAAATGAATCAACAGAAACTGCTCCTGAAAGAGAACTAATGGCAGATCTACTGGATGAAAAAACTTTAAAATAACTGTCTCTAAGATGCACAAAGAACTAAAGAAAGATGTGGGAAAAGCCAAGAAAGCAATGTGTGAACAAAATGGAAATATCAATAAAGAAATAAAAAACCTAAAAGGAAATGAAAAAGAAATTTCATAGCTAATAAGACCAATAATTACAATAAAAAATTCACTAGAGGGATTCAAAGGCAGAAGAAAGAATCAGTGAACTTGAAAAACAGGACAAGGAAATAGGAAATTATTGTCTGAAGGACAGAAAGAAAAAAGATTGAAGATAAGTGAACAGAACCTAAGGGATCTGTGGAGCACCATTAAGCGGACCAATATACACTTAATATATACATCCTTCTGGGAATCTCAGAAGGAGGAGAGAGAGATAGGGGCAGAGAAGATACTTGAATGAATAATGGCTGAAAACTCCCAAATCTGATGAAAGACATGACTATAAACATCCAAGAAGCTCAAAACAACCCAAGATGAACTCAAAGAAGCTCAAAAGACACATTATAATCAAACTTTAAAGATAAAGACAAAGGGAGAATCTTGAAAGCAACAAGAAATCATCATCATCAATACAAGGGGTTTTCAACTAAGATTAAGCAGATTTCTCACCAGAAACTTTGGAGGCCAGAAGACAGTGGACTGATATGTTCAAAGTGTTAAAAGAAAAAACTGCCAACAAAGACTGCTATATCCACCAAAACTGTCCTTCATAAGTGAGGGAGAAATTAAGACATTCCCATATAAACAAAAGCTGAGGAAGTTCATGATACTAGATCTGTCATGCAAGAAATGCTTAAGGAAGCCCTGCAAGGTGAAATGAAAGGACGCTAGATGGTAACTCGAAGCTGTATGGAGGAATAAAGAGCTCAATAAAGTTAAATGCATAGTTAAAACAGCAGTATTACTGTAAATAGTTGGAAACTGCACTTTTTATTTGCAACATGATTTAGGAGACTATGACATTTAAAGAAAAAAATTATTAGTGTAAAAACTAGTATCACTGCAATGTTGGTTTATAACTCTGAGTCTTATTTTCTAGATAATTTAATATGCTAATGCATTTAAAATAATTATTAGTTTATGGTTTGGGGCGGCACACAATGTATAACGATGTAATTGTGGAACATCAACAAATGAGGAGGTAGAGACAGAGCTGTAAAGGAGTACAGGCTTTGTATGTTATTGCAGGTAAGCTGGTATAAATTTAAATTAGTGTTACAATTTTAGGATGTTAAATGTCATCTCCATTGTACACACAAAGAAAACAGCTAAAAAATATACACAAAAGGAAACAAGATAGAAATTTTAACATTTCACTACAAAAAATCAACTAAAAACAAAAGAAGACCTGAATGCAGGAAATGAGGAACAAAAAAGCTATAGGGCATATAAAAAACAAATAGCACAATGACAGGAGTAATTCCCTCCTCAGTAATTACTTTCAAGTGTAAATGGTTTATATTCTCCAGTCCAAAGATAGAAATTGGCAGAATGAATAAAAACATATGATCCAACAATATGTTATCAACAAGAGATTCACTTGAGACCCAAAGACACAAACAGGTGGAAACTAAAAGGATGGATAAAAGATATTCCATGCACATAGAAAACAAAAGAGAGCAAAAGTGGCTATAATAATGTCAGACAGATAAACTCTAAATAAAAAAAGGTTACAAGAGACAAGGACGTTATGTATTAATAAAAGTTTCAATAAAGCAAAAAGATATAACAATTACAAACATTTACACACCTAATGACAAACTATAAAAATATATGAAACAAAACCTGACAAAATTGAAGGGGGAAATAAACAGTTTCACAATAATAAGTAAGGAAATAAATAAGGGAATAGTGGGCTTAAGCAACACAATACACTAACTACATCTAACAGACATATACAGAACAATCCACCAAACTTCAACAGAGTATACATTCTTCTCAAGGGCACATGGAACATTTCCCTGTATTGGGGCACACATTAAGTCTCAACAGATTTAAAAAGAAAAATCTGGAAAATTCACAAAATTCTGGAAATTAATGCACTTTTAAACAAACAAAGAAAAATCACAAGGGAAAGTAAGAAATACTTAGAGATGAATGAAAATGAAAACACAACATACCAATGAACAGAAAACAAAATGCAGTACACACACACACTGCTATACTTAAAACAGATAACCAACAAGGACTTACTGTAAAAAATTTTTTAAAAAAAGAATGTACTCCTAGCCCATCCAAAACCCCCAATCAATTTCCCAAAATATCACTAAAGTATCTTTTAAACCTATTTAAAAATCCACTAAGGAATTCTAAATAATATAAAGCATTTAACACACACACACACACACACACACAGACACAGAATATAGTACACACATACACAATGGAATATTACTCAGCCTTTTAAAAGAAAAAGGAAATTCTACAATATGCTACTACATGGATGAACCTAGAAGACACTATGCATAATGAAATAAGCCAGTCACAAAAAAAAAAATACTATATGATTCCACTTAAG